TGTAGGGTGGAGTCCTCTGCCAGGCTACTGAGAGGTGTAGGGAACCTGCTCAGGCCTTTCCAGGACTCTGGCAGCTCTGGGCAACCCAGTCCTGGCCCCAGCCCCCACCCCTCACTGAGTGCTCTGTGACACAGGAAATCCTCCCCACAGTGCTCCCAGAACCCAGCCTATTCCCCTACGGGTTGGCCCAATTCACTGTGTCTTCCTTCAGTCATCACCCATGATCCTGGCCCCTCCATGGGCCTCCGCCTCACTGTGCGGACACCCACACTCAGACATCTATGGCCTCCACCTCTAGCCTCCACCCTAGCTTTGTCCCTGTGCCAAGCAGGTTGGACCCCAGCCTTCTTCTGGTCCTCCTGTTCCCTCAGACTACCACCCCAGCTCCCTAGCCCTGTGGGTTCCTCCTGCTGTGGACACCGACCTTGTCCTGCCCCACCCCCAGGCTCCACCCCTGGGCTCCCTCAGCCACACCCAGGAAGGAAGGGAGCCCCCACTACCCTGCTGCCTCAGGAAATCACTGGGAAGTACTCCCTGTCTCCTGTGGCTAGGGACTGGGAGGGGCCTGAGGGCCTCACTGCCTCTGCAGATCCTGGTGACAAGCCGTGGTAGTGCCAGTCTTGGCGGGAGCTAAAAATAAATCATCTGGGGCAGAGCTGGCTGGTGCCTCCACATGGGCGGGGGGGGGGGGGGTCAGGAAGGGAGATAGGCCCTGGTGACAGCCGCCAGCTGTAATCCCAGGCCCCAAAGGAAAGCAGGAGGTGTAAGCTGACCGTGCCACCAACCCAGAGAAGGTAGGTGAGGAGGAGAATGAAGTCAGTTCCAGTGGGCAGTCATGGCCCCTCCTTTCAGCTAGACATTGGTTGGCTCTAGAAGCTTCCTAGGGCTTCTGGGACACACAACAGCTTAACCCTCCTAAGCAGATAATGGCCACTCTCAGCCAGAGACAGGCCCCAATCTGGCCATCAGAGTTGCCCAGCCCCACCTGCATCTTGTCGCTTTCCCTGTTCAGTTCTTACCACAGGGAATATGGGGGAATTGCTCCTCTAGGGGCTGCCCCAGCCCCAGTGCTAGCCAGGCCCAGCTGCTCGTCCAGAGGGGCGAGGTGCTCCACACCAGCCAGCTGCTAGCACTCACGGCCAGGGTGGGAAGGGGGAAGGGAGCCCCCAGGACAGGGGAAGCCACTGGAGCCATGGGGGTGGGGCGTGGGCACAGAGCTTCCTGGGTGGCATGAGGCCAGGTCTGCAGAGCAAGCATCTGTTAATGCCCCCAAAACTCACCAGAAGAGCTAGTGAAAGGCCCACAACAATGGGAGTCTATAGGCTGTCCACTCCTTTCTTCCTTCTATGTCACTAATTTTCTGCCACCAACAGGGATATACTTTATGAAGGAAGGAAAAGGGGAGGCCTCAGTGGGACAGCAACTGGAAATTTTCAGGGCTTTGGTGGGGCCTTAAATCCAGCACAGAGACCAGGAACGAGCTGGGGGCCCTACACCCACCTTAGTCTCCACCGGTAAGATGAAGGCGCTGCGCCTGAGTGCGTCCATTTGCAGCTCGGTGCCCAGCCCACAGGGAGGACTCTGTTCCTACCCCTCCTCCACAGCCACCCTTCCTCATAGCCCTCCTGTGCAAGACCCCGATGGAGGCAGAGAACCCCACTCCCAGTGTAGGGGCTGGCCCCTGCCAGCCTCATACTACCCTACACTTCCAGGCCCTCAAGGGCCTGATCCCAGCAGCTGGGTGAAGACGGGCGTAGGCGTGGCCTGGAGGTGGGAAGGTGCAGGGAGAGTGAGGACTGGGGGATGGGGCCCTTGGAGGAAGGGAAGGGGCTCAAGTTGGGGAAGAGTGACAGACAGAAACCGAGTCCCTGCATAAGCATGGCTGTCTCCTCATCCTCCCTCATCCAGCATGCTCCACATCAGAGCAGTGACAGCTGTCCTTGGACACATGACTGATAACCATCCCTGGTGGAGAGAGGGGATACTGGTGACACTGGTGACCACAGCAAGAGCTGCTTGCTAAGCAGTTAGGTCTCACTACTTACCTGGGGGCCTTCTGGGCAGCCCCTACTCCCCCACCCCATTTGTACTTGCCCCACGTACCCAGCCAGCTTTGAAGGCAAAGGGGTCAGAACCCTCTTCAGAGAGACCCTTGGGTGGACAGTTAGGGGAGGCCTGAGCAACTGTGTTCTGAGCAGATGAGTTCTTGCTGGGACCAGGAGGACCAGTCCTGGGGGAGGGCCCCAGAACGAGCACCCTCTAGCCTGGTGTGTCCTAACTCACACCGCCCACACCTCATTTCGTACTCCAGGCCTGAAGAGTGCCTGAGACCCCAGTCCGGGACCCTCAGTCACCCCTCTCCAGATGCCTCCCCCGTGAACAGGGAGCAATGAGAAGAGCAGGTCACCGTGGCTGGACCCTTTGTCTCAGATGGGAGCTGTAGCACAGGGCCTGCCCGGTGGGGGCAGAGGCCACAATGTATCTGCCCACAAGAAGCCAGAGCAGGGCCTGGCACACAGGGCTGCAGGGCCCTGAGCACCTAGGCCCACATATGGGGCATAAGACACCCATTTCTGTAGCTCGCTGAGGTGCTAGGGCCTCTCCAGAGAGAAGGTCACCAGAGCAAGGAGAGACATCACCCAGAGAGGGGCAGAGCAGAGCCAGGCGCCCCCAGGGTACTGACCCCCAGCCTCAGTCCCCAGGCTGGAGTCAGCCCAGATGTGAGTTCCTGCTTCCCCATTCCTGTGCATGGTGTGAGCTACCATGAAATCAAACAGACAAGAAAACATGACTAATCTGTTGTTTTAAAAGATACAGGCATTTGGTTGTTGTTGTTGTACTGGGCTTTGAACTCAGGGCCTTGTGCTTGCTAGGCAGGCGCTCTAACACTTGAGCCTCTCCCCCAGACTTTTTTGCTTTATTTTTCAGATAGAATCTCTCTTTTGTCCAGGTTCAGCCTCAGACCACAATCCTCCTATCTCTGCCTCTGGAATAACTGGGATTATAGGTGTGAGCCACCATGTCCAGAGCCAAAAAGAGACACTTTTTAAAAAGCTGCTTCACTTTTGCTGGCAGTATGACTCACGCCTGTCTAGCGAGTACAAGGCACTGAGTACAAATCCCAGTACTACAAAAACAAACAAAAATCCCTGCTTCACTCTTTGCTAGCTCTAATCTGCTGAAGCAGTATATACCTCTCTGTGCCTGGGCTAACGCTGTCCTAGCTTGGGGGTGTGAGGTGCTTGGAGAGCACCCCCAGCCAGCCCAGGGCTCCAAGCTCCCATCTAGGACTCTGTCCTGACATCCCTCCTGAGGGCTGAGCAGAGGACAGCCTGGGAGGCCCTGCCCTGGACCTCAGCCAATGGGCAGCTGAAGAAGCTGCTGACCAGTTACAGGCAGGCCAGGGGACCCGAGCCAGTGTAGGAGCGCATTCTCGAGCAAGATCAGGTGGCATCGAGGTCACAAGGGACTGGACAGCAGAAGGAACAGACCTGGCTCCCAGAGGCATCCTGTGAGAGACCTGACTCCACCGGGAAGTGCCACAGGGGGAATGAAGACAGTGTTTCACAGACCAAAGGCCCGGAGGTGATGGGCAAGCAGTTCACTGTCTTGCTCTGATGGCAGGATTGCTCAGAGCTCTGTTGACCTGGGGACTTAGGCAGGTGGTCCTGGGCCTCTTACACCCCCAGCAGAGGGCCAGCAGTGGACTCCCAGAGCAGCACCTTCTCTGCTGGCTGGAAAGGGGACGCCCGCAGCTAGGAGTTCACGGGGAGCCCACCCTCCACTCAGCTCAGGCTCTGCTGGTCACGGTCAGGACTTAGGTTAAGAATTTGGGTGCTGCATCAATTGGCAAAGGGCAGAGGCAGCCCTTTTGGGGGTGTTGCTGGGGACCCCAGGGTGCAGTATTCACACACAGTGCCTATTCCTGTCATTCTCAGTGGGAGGAAGAACTCCCCATCCCCCACCCCAGGGCCTGGGACAGGTGCCAGGTGCCCGCCCCAGCCTGACTTGGTAAGGATGCACAATTCATCCCAGAAACAAGCACTTGGATATGCAGTATGCTCGTCTATGTTTGCTTCTGAGGCAGACTCAGCTCTTGGCCTGGGCCCAGCAGAGCAGCCTCCCGGAAGATGCTGACCTCTGTCCTGGGCTGCAGACAGCAGGGTCCCCTCAGCTCAGAGCTGACCAGGAGCAGGAATTCTTTCCCAGCTCGGGTCTTCCTGGGGATCCCCTGGGAGGAAGTACAGAGATTCAGGACCTGGCCCAGCGTGGCCACTGTGTGACTGCGGTCACTGTGTGACTCCAGTTCTCTGGGCCCAGGCTTCTTCTGATATGGAAACTGACCCTTCCTCACAGGCTCTAAGTCTGGAGGGCAAAGCTAGAGGCCAAGCTCAGCAGTCACCTCTGACTCCTCTGTCCTCACAACTGGGACCCACGGGGGCCAGAGTCCCCTCTCTAGACTCATGCAAGGCCTCCTCCCACCTGTGGATTTTCTGGGGTTCTTAGGACCCTCAGGCTTTACAGGGTCTCAGGATCAAATGGTTGAGGCCAGCTCCCCTGAGGGCTTGGTTCTGTGAGATGCTGTTGGGGAAGAGAGATCTGCTATTATGTAGGAATTTTTTTTTTTTTTTTTTTTGGTGTTACTGGGGTTTGAACTTAGGGCTCAGGGCCTCATGCTTGCTATGCTGGCACTCTGCCACTTGAGCCCCTGCACCAGCCCAAAAGAGCTCTGTTAAACCCCACCCTACAAGAGCAGCCCCAGAACCACAGGACACCTTGAGGGCAGTCACCCTGCCAGGTAGTGATGGCCACGAGCCCAGTCCTCTTGTCTGTCCCCAGAGAGGACACTTGGAGGCGTCTGTTTCCCCCACCCCCGCACCCTGCATGCTGACAGTCCTTCCTGAGGGTGGCTGTGCCATTAGAACTCTGAATGTTCCAGTAGAACCAGGAATAGGCAGAGCCACCACCCTGTCTGAAGGGACATCTCTGGGAACCAGGGGACAAGAGGCTTCACCGGAGGAGCGTAGAGCAGAACGAGCCCATTTGCAGGGGCATTGCCTCTGCCCAGGGAACTCAAACTCTGACCAGAAAACTTAAGCGATGGGAACTGCACTCACAACAGGTGGTCAGTGTCCCCCCAAGTGAGAGCAGGCAATGCAACTGGTGTGGGGCCACCTGGACCCAAGCGGTCAGGTGACTGCAGACTCCCCCAGGTGCAACCTCAGGGAGAAACCTCAACACAGACTTCTTTTCATTCCTCACATTTAAACAAAGAAAGACCAGAAGACAAACTTTCCTTTTCTTTCTTTTTTTCTTTTTGGTCTTTAAAGTGACAGAGGGAAAAGGAGTGACTCTCACAGGGGCAGAGCGGTCTCTCCTCAACTTGACGCCTGTTTTCCATGTCTGCCCTCCTCACAGTACTGGCGACTTGTAGCAGCATCTCTGGACAAGTGGCCCTGCAGGCCGGGGCTGGACACCCAGGGGACCCGTGCTCTGGGAGATACATGGGGGAGATGCGGACAGTCCCTGCTCTCAAGAACACAGACAGCCCGCACCCAAGGGCTTGGGAGGGAGCCCACACGTGCAATTTGGTTTTCTCAAGCCTGTGGGTTGGCTTGAGTGGAGCAGCTGAGGCCATGACCAGGACGACACTCTGTGGTTGGGCACGGCACCCCAACCAGAAGCCAGAGTGATGATGGGCCCTGCCTCTTTCTGCACAGGGATGGCCCAAGCCTGAAGGCTGCTGGCACTCAGCATACGAAGCAGCAAGCATGCCACCGAGTTCCAGGCCACTTCACAGCCAGGGACACTGCAGCCCGGATAGATACATTCAGCCAAGAGGAGCCGAGTCTGGGCTGGCCCCTCCCTGCACACACCTGCTCCTCTAGGACCTAGAGCCAGGCTGGCCACTGGGCCTAGCCTGTTTCCGCACGCAGCCAGCCAGAAGGCACATGGGCCCCTTGGACAGAAGTCAGAAGTTCCAGGACAACAGCTGCACCCTCATCGTCGGTGACCTTGGGGAAAGCAGAAAGGCAGAAGTTACCTCAGGGTCAAGACAGGCCCCTTAGGGGTCCAAGCACCAAGCCAGCGTATGTTCCACAGGTCATCTGAGCCTTCTCCATTGGGCTCTATGGCTCACTGGGGATCCCAAAGGCTCCTAGCTTCCACCAATCCTCTCCATATCCATGAGTCCCACCTGCCTTGGTGCCATGGCCTGGGAAAAGAGGAGCATCTTGGGTGGCTAGAGAGCCTGGAGCACAGTCTAGCTGCAGGATGCTGGGGAGAGGCCTGCTATTCTAGACCCTTCAGCTATGCACTCACTGTGTGTGACTGGGGCCCTCACATGCACTGATGCCCCCTGTAGGGACTTGCCCCTGAGCATGGGAGGAGCCCAGAGCCCCCATCCTCCAGGATGCATCCCCCCAGCACAGGGGGTCCCATAGACTCTGGGGGTGGGAGGAGAGAGAGAGGGAGAGAGGGGGGAGAGAGAGGCTATGAGAATGAACATATGTGCATACATGAATCCACGAACAAGGGGGCAGCCAGCCCCAGGTACCGTGCACAGTGGATGCTCCACCCCAGTCCAGCGAGCACAGAGAATCATGGGAAAAACTGGCACTGTGTTAAGCTGCTGTTCTGGAGAAATTTATCAACACAGTAGTATTAAACTAAAACAAACACCCAATGGGTGGTCTGAAGGCATTCAGAGACTTTTCAGAGCTGAGATGGACAAGTGACCGTGCTATAAAGCTAATCAGACAGAAAGTGAGGTGAAAGATCAACTGCAGAGAACAGAGAGTTGAACAACAACAAAAACCAAGTTCACTGCCGGCCACAGGGACAGGCTGCAGTTAACATGAACACCAAATCCTCATCAGCCAAGTTAGGTTCTACGTGTTGGTGGGAGCAGGGAGTTCCAAGAACACAAAATTCTCAGCATCCATAGGAAAAAGTCCATGAGTAATGTCTAAACCAAAATAAATCAAGGCTCTGCAGCATATCTGGAACCACGACAGTCTCTCACCACATGGCATATTTCATGTTACTAGTGGACTTCAAGGTGGGATATTATAACATTGATGCCAATAAAAATTAAATGAAGGGGATGTGTGGCTGGGGACATCCTCCTGTAAAGTAAAGTAAGAATCGAGATCCTTTTCCAACCTGGGAGGTCTTCACAGACAGCCTTTGTCTTTCAGGAAGAGCTGTAGCCAGGCTCCCCATGCTGATTCAGTGGTGATCGGACCCCAACCTGGCCTTTCCACACACAGCTGCTGGGACCCTGGTGCCCTCCCTCTAGTGGGGAGCCATACCCAAAGGACTTATGTTGTGGAAAAGCCTGGTCCAGGTGTGGACATCTGGTCTCCTCAGATCTCCCAACTTGAGGCTGCATGGGGTATCAGACACCAAGGAGGAGTGGACGATGCCTGTCAGGCTCCCAGGGGCTAGAGAAGGCTCTGGGCCAGGGCCCTGGCCACAGGGACAGTTCGAGATCAGCAAATCAGTATCCATGTCCAAAGCACCAGGAGGTGAGCAGGAGGCACCCAGGCTACCCCAGGTCTACACAGGTCAAGACCCAAACCAGAAAAGGCCCAGCAGGTGGGGTTCACAACATATCTTCTTGTGTCTACAGAGGTACCCACACTCCAGACACAGCACAGGTAAGACCTCACTAAGACCCTTCCACAGGGGTTGGTTGAGGCTCAACCACAGCACCTACCTGGACAGCAGATGGGCCACCCTGTCTTGGACAGTATACCCTCCAAAATCTGTGCTACCAGAGGTGAGACAGGTCAGAGTCACCTGCCAGCAACCTTTGGGAAAAGTGAGTCACCCATGTGTGAGTCACAGGCCGGAGGGGTGTGCCTGTGTCCACCCCACAGGGGCTCTGCTGGGCAAACACTGCTCCAGGAAACGCTGGGCCAATACTGGTGGGACAGTTTCCCAGGACACCTTTTGCTGTTTGCAAAAAGAGGCAAAACCATAAACGCCCTGGACTTTGTCTTGAAACTTCACCCACTGCTGCCCAGGCTGTTTGTCTGAGCCCACCAAGTACTACCCAAATGCTGGCCCTGGAGATGGGCTATTCTAGACACTGCAGACTCTCTCTCCTCTACAGATAACCCCAACAGGAGTGGCCATGGGCCCCATTAGTGCTGCCTGTGATGGCTGCCAAGGCCCTGCCACACCCCTCTGTGCCAAGGAGAGGCAAGGAGGAGGACACAGAGGTCCACCTAGCAACGGAAGCAGCCTGCTGTGGGCATACCCAGTACATGAAGGACAAGGAACCAGCTTGGCATCCTGGTCCTCAGAGATAGCAAGGATGCAGAAGCAATGAGGGCAGAGGGAGGCCTGGGGCACCAAGGGCAAGCTGTGGTCACTGGGTCTGGGGATCCCTACACTCTGAGGACAGATGAACCACTCTACTACAGAAGTCCCTTCTCTTGAGCTGTGGTCTGGGCCTGAGGAGGGACCCATGAGGACCAAGGCGTGGCTGGTTGGGGGCTTGAAACATAGCACCAAATTGGACAGCAGACTGAGCATTGACGCCCAGGCCTCCACTGGAGGGGTCAGATGATCGAATGGCACTGCCCACTCCCAACCCTGATCCACTCCTTACAGGGAGGACAGGCTGCTTCCAGGCTGGGGCGACAGACCCTGGCAAAGGGAGGGCAAAGGCTGAGTATACATACTATCCCTACCAACCCAAAGATGACTCGGACAGTTGGGCTAAGTTCCCAACTCAGGATTCCTGAGAAAATGTCCCCATGCTGGAACACAGTCCAGCATCTGTGACCCCGGTCCAGAGGTCACAGCATTCTGCATACAGGATCTGTGTTTTCACCAGCAGGGTCCTGCACCAAACCCACCCACGGGCTTCACAACAATGGGGGCAGGAGGGTCCAGGACACAGAGGCCCCCCCAGCCAGGACGCTCCCTCTACTTAGCCTCTGTCCCCACCTACTGCCACAGCCCAGCTCAGGCTCCATACAGATAAGTCTTGTCATGACGGTTGTGATTGCACAACCAAACAATGGGAGAAAGAACCAGAGGATCTTGGTTCTCCCAGCCCTCAAAGGTGAGAATCAAGAAGTACTAAACTCACCCGTGTTCTGTCCCCTGAAGCCACTTGCGTTCCAATGTGTAGTTGGTTGGTGAAAGTACTTCCTGACCCTCTTGGAGTCCAGGTGGTGCCCCTATGGACACCATTCTGGTCCACTCTTGTGCTACAGGTTAACAAACATCCTGGCTGCAGCACATCTGAGATTTCACCCTGAGCAGGGGGCCCAGCCCTAGAATCCAGCCTGCCTACAGGAGGTGTCCTTCCAAAGCTCTGTGAATGGGAATGGGCTGCTTGCAAGGTCTGGCCAGGTTCTGCAGAGATGGCGGGGACAGGTGTGCTTACAGAGGGAATGGCAGGACTGGAAACTTCCTGCCCCTTCTGAGCACATTAGGGTTTGAAAGGGGCTCAAATCAAGGCAATGTTTTACTGCAAAGAACACAGATCTGGGGACAATTAAAACTTCCAGGTATCTCTCCATCCACAGCAGGGATCCTCACAAAAGGCCTTGAGAGGAAACAGCTCCTAGCCCCCACCACCCTCTCTGTCACCAACAGTGGCCTTCAAAGAAGCTTTCCCTCTTCCAGCAAAAGAAACACGGGCTCAATGACTGAGCAGGGAACGTGCCCACAAGCCAGCCCCTCACTGACTATGGCCAGTGCTGCAGAGCTTAGCTGGGCTGCTCTAGGTCGCTGAGATCCCAGGACACCAGGTCTTCCCAGAAACCTGGACTCAGCAGAGCCTCAGACCCACCTCCCTCTCTACCCTGCCATCCTGGCACTTCGCTATTCAGATCACGTCTTCTTCACAGCCCAGAAGGCTGGCAACGCACATCCTCCAGTGGTGGCTCACTAAGAAGAGACCAGCCCAACCCAGCGTCCCACAAGGGCTCCGTACATAGGGAGGAGGAAGGAGGTGGTCACTGTGTAGGGGTCAGTGAGGTTCAGTGGCGGCGTGAGGTGCTGCTCAGGCCTCTGGGGCCAGGGCCACAAACCTGTGTATGCTGAAGACAGACAGACGCAGACCCTGGGAGGTGCGAGGGTCATAAGGACCTCGAGGGAAGCCAGACAGGGAGGCCACGGAAATGCTCACGCAATTACAAAACACAACTAAATGTTAAGCCCTAGGAATCTCTGAAACTGGAAAGCAAAATGAAACAACCAAACCTGTGTTGTGAGGTCAGGCATGGCCACAGAGGAATTTGCCTCAATGACTTTGAAACACAGGAATGTAGACATATATATACCCCTCAAAGGGCCAGCCCTGGGACAAAAGGATGTGCAGGGAAATCCTATTCTGGCAGCCTTGGTGGTCACTGCCGTGTGTGGCATTAATGGTTACTGTTATCCTGAAACCATCATACTTTATTACAGTAAAGCAATATTGTGTGTAAAATACGCATTACTAAAACAATACATATTTTGCATATGTAAAATAACCGTGTTAACATCGCTGAGTCAGACTTTTGGCTGATCCGAGGCCTGGTGGCAGGAAGCAGGGCCTCAACCAGATGGTGCAGTTACCACAGGCCTCGATCGGGCCCAAGGGGCTGTGTGAGTGCAGGTAGGCAGTCTGAGCAACACAGGGACACCTGCTGAGGTGATACGGACACTCGCTCAGGACAGGGCTTCTGGTTATCCTGACATTCGCCCAGCTGTTTCATCAGAAACTCACCCACAAGTGAGAGGCAGCCAGGCCTTGATGAAAAGTCACCAGGAGTTGGTGAGGCAAGGTTCTGCACAGAAGGCAGAGGCTGAAGGCCACACTGTCGGCACTCCAACCCAGTGAGCAAGGAGCAGTCAGTGGCGAACAGTCATAGGGTAGAAATGCAGGAAAACCTGATAGCAAAGAGAGCAACTAGGACGACATGACGTCCTCAAACCATGACCCCTCCCGACGGGATGAGCAGCCTGAGGAGGGGGCCTGCAAGATGGAGCCCAAGGCGGGCGAGGT